TTGTTCTTTATCAAACTCTTGGACTTTCCACTCTTGTGCTTGCTTAGCATTCTCCAACAAACCTGCAATAACTACATCAAGCCAATTAGTTTGATTACAACAAAGCAATTGATGGTTATCATAAAGAACTTGAAATTCTAAATGGTATATGAAGACCAAGAAAAAGAAAAATGTGCTAGTACACAAAACAAGCGATTGCATACTTGCTGGGCTCCACTTGCAAGCACAATTACTCCATTTATCAGACTATTCAACAAGAAATATTACGCAAAAATACTTTTATTTTAATTCATGTTCATACTCCGCATAGAAGAGAGAGCATCCTCGGAGACCCAGGGACAGTGAGTCGATTTCAAGTTTAGGGCAGAAGAGCCCCTGGGGATATTGTCTTACAAGACTAGTTCCTAACGGTCGCAGTCGTTCTGGCATCTGATTGGTGCCAGAAAATCTTTGTTTTTCTTCTGCCCAATCAGAGGGAAGTGTCGTTTGGAGTCCTTTCGTGTGTTTTAACACGCACATATTCAACAAGCTCTGTTTCTCGCTATGTTTGTTTGGGCCGTGCGACGAAGCTTTGCCCGAGGTGAAAAGTTTCAGTCTCAGCACACAATGTAAGAGAAATCGATCAGAAATCTTACCGGAAATTATACTGAATACTTTCGCAGGTATCACAAGAGAACGAGTTTAAAAGTTTGCGAGGTTTGTATAAAACATAATGGTTACAAGCATTGATATGTCGCTTTAAGCGTTAGATGAGATGTAAGCCTAAATCTTTCAAGATTTTTTTGTATAATTTGGTGTCACTGAAACTGTTCCAATCCCGTGAAGCTATTTCGTCGCACAGGCCACGCAGGTATGTCGAGAAACTGGTGCTTACGCATTTTTTAGTGCACTCCCGGCAAAAATCTAATCTAATCTTCGCTTTAAAGATTAAAAAGACAAGCTAAACGTGGAAACTTTTGTCTATTAGAGGTGGGTAGATAACCCTGAACTAAGCTGACATTTACAATAAAGCAAGCTCGCCCTTTCCATCCAATATTTCTTTGTCTTTGGTTTTGTTTTCCCCAATGAAAGCAGAATCGATTCCCAATGATCAAAGGTAATTAACTTGGTCTTCAACAATCGACAAAAGAGGTGAAGTGACAATGACCAAGGGACTAGAAGAGTGGCCGAGACAAACATAGCGAGCTACAGAGCTTGTTGTATATGTGCGTGTTAAAACACACGAAAGGACTCCAAACGACACCTCCCTCTGATTGGGCAGAAAAAAACAAAGATTTTCTGGCACCAATAAGATGCCAGAACGACTGCGACCGTTTGGAACTAGTCTTGTAAGACAATGTCCCCAGGGGCTCTTCTGCCCTAAACTTGAAATCGACTCACTGCCCCTGGGTCTCCGAGGATGAAGAGAGAGAAACAGTACCCAAAGATTAACCTTTGCTCGAGGTAAGACAAAACTAATGACGATTTCAAAACATTCAAGGTAAATTGAATTTTAACGATTTCAAATATTCCTCCACAGCATTCAAAGTTAAAAAAAGCAAAAGCAGAAGGAAAACATAAGCTCAGAGGCTTTGTAAAGTATCTAGCTCAGCAACCCAACAGACATCAGGACTGGGGCTCGCCAGGCTTAGGGTATAGCCATTGAGCCAATTTCTCCCCGATTCCAACTAGAAACCTTGCCATCGATTTAGTATTAAGACCGTACATGTAGTTTTCTTGTGAAAAAGGTATACGCAGGGTAGTTAAAAGTTGGTTTATTACTGTCTTTTAAGTATATTTCATTGGAATGGTTTTATTGAACTCCAAGGAATTTTATTGAACTTGAATTTAATCTCAAAAAATTAATGCGTCAGGAAAACATACAGCAGATCCTTATTTAGACTTCAGGCGGGACACTGTTGACGTCTTGGACATCTTCTAAGAACTAATGTAACCCATTCCAGGAGCCTACACACTTATCTTCAAGATATTATAATCTCTTCCTCATCTTTTAGCAGATGCCATTTTCGTTCATCCTCCATCTCTTTAGTACTCTCCTTCGACGGATATCCCACTGATTATCTCCATTCCCTTCCTTACCGCCCACCCTACCCATGGGGCCTCCTCTCTCTCCCTCCATTAGGAAAATAGTGATTTGAAAACATCTTAATTGCTTACAGAAAACGAGGATGAAACTCCACTTGGCCATTGAGGATACCGTCAAAATGTTGTTCGCTAAAGAAGTAAAGTCGATGTAAACGTAAATATGTAACCTTTCAGTAGACATCAGTTGTTGACGTTGTCAACGCAAATTTGAAATTTGATATAGTCACAAGTTACATCATAGGCGGCGAAACAGGAGAGGGGGGAAGGGGGGAAGGGGGAAGGGCGTAGCCCACCAAACAAAAATTTGAGCCTTTTGGTTGGAAAATGTCGCTAATGCAGCATGAAAATTGGAAAAATATTCAATTTCGTGATCATTTCACAAATCCTTCTATCAGTATCGCACTTAGCAAATTAATATCTTAGAACACATTTATGAGCTCCACCTTGTGTTCGAGAAGCTTATAAACTGCAGCAAATCTCCTTTTAACTAATCAGCGATTTCTGCGAAATTCGATATGACTTATTTTTTTCTATGGGAGCCCAGTCGAATGCAAAGCCTGAAAGATTTAAGACTGTGCGGTTTAGAACTCGTTTAAGGGTTCTATATCCAAATACCTACACCTTTAAAAGGTGTTAGTTAATTTGCCTCCATCATTCCCAAAGCTATTTGTTTTAATTCTTTTATATAGAAAAACATCAAAACTATATGCTCTGAATTAGAGGACAACTCTGACCGTTTCATTAAGGCTTTCAATATTTTGTGATAATGGAGGAAAAGTCAGTACATATGTGTCAGTAAATATACAACCTAATGATACAAAATTACGATATAATAATACACTCACCTCTTAAATTCCAAAATGGCGGAAGATGGTCAATCTGCTTAATACTACAACTGTGCCATAGTCCAAACTCGTTTTACCGCAATTGTTCAGTTCAAGCGTTCAGAGACGAGCCATGCGACTCATGATCAAAGGAAGATCTTACATGGAAAGGTTGAAATCTCTCCATCTTCTAACCCTTAAGTCTAGAAGGACTCTACTTGACTTGATCTTCTTTTACAAATGTTTAAAGGGACTCTTAAATATTAACTTATCTAGTTTTATTATTTCCAGAAAAAATGCAGCATATGAACTAAGAAATGCTGATTTGTCATTTAAAACTCAATATGTGAGAACAAACATGCTAAAATATTCCTATTTCCATAGAACAGTTAAAAGCCTGGAATTGTTTACCTGTGCATGTCAGAAAGTCTGAGTC